CAGCGCCGGTGGCGAGGCAGCGCGTTCCAGAGCCTCCGGAGACGCAGCGCCATCGGGGCGCGCAGGCGGTCCGGCGCGAGGCAGAACGCGCTCAGCCTCTCGAGCGTCACGCGCGGGGGGCGACAGCAAACGCAGCGGCGGCAGTCCAGGAGCATCATGCGCAGGTGGCGGAGGCAGCGCTGGTAGTTGCGGCAGAGGGCGCGAAGCGCTCGCCGAGGAAGGCGGCGGGGCGCAGGGTCAACTCTCGGGCGCAGCAGGGCGGGGGGCGCCAGGGGCCACGCCAGAGGCCGCAATCGGCGGCATGTTATCGATCTGAACGTCCGCGGTCGGTGCCCGCGGGTCACCCTCCTCCGCGGAAGCTTCGGGGTTTGCACCCTGGCGCTGGGCCAGTTGAGGCGCTCCCCCGGCTTCGGGGCCTGCGCCCTGGCGCTCGGCCAGTTGTGGCACTCCCCCAGGACGTTCCTCCAAGGACCGCCCCGCACGATGTGGCATCCGAGCTCCGATCGACCGAGGATGCACGAATTCTGTGGAGTCGACCGTGCTGTCGGACTCATCAGACGAGTCGGCAACAACGTCAGGGCCGTCCTCAGCGTCGTCATCCGCTGGCGGCGGCGGCAGGCTGCGCTCCACACAAAACGGTGGGGCGCGTGCCGGCGTCGGCCCGACCAACGGCAGATCGGCGGCACTCAGCGTCGTCAGCCGCGGCGGCGGCGGCGAGGGCCACCAAATCGGCGCGCTGGGCGCCGGGGGCGGCAGCGCTCCGGGCAGCCAACACCATGCGGCCTCGGCCACCTTGGCACCCGCATCGTCACTATCTGCATGTACAGGACCGGCATCATGGTCACGAAGTAGCAAACGTTGATGGGCGTCTGGTGGCGGCACGTCATGCTGCCGCACAGAAGGTGAAAACAGAACGGGACGGCGAACCAGCGCGGCGACCAGCGCTGCGACGTCCTGCATGTGCGGGCGGCGGCCGACGCGGGCCGCGTAGCCTCGGCTGGCTGCAGCAGCGCCGGCCGGAAAAGCCTCGAAGCGCGCGGCTAGCCCTCCACTCGCCTGGGCAGGGCGAAACGAAGCGGCCGGCGCGCATGGCAGCCAGCCCCGCGCGAGGCGCGCTGCTCCTGGAACAGTTCCAAACACCTCGACCCGGGGTGCCGGCTAAAACGCAGGGAGGAGGGAGGATGGGGCCACGAAGCGCTGCAGTGGGTGTGCGGGACGCATGCGGACGGTAGCACTGGGACTTTCGGTGGGGCCCCCTATGGGGCCACGGAGCGCTGTAGTGGGTGGGTGAAACGCAGGGAGGAGGGAGGAGGGGAAAGAGGGGGAAGGAGGAGGGGAGGAGGAGTAGAGAGGAACGCGGGGCACCGTCTCTTCAAAACGATGACCCAACACTTGGTTCCAGTCGGGACAATCATGCTAGATATCCCACTGGGTGGCCTGGACATGTAAAAACATATGGCTCCAGCTCTGGGCGACAATGTTAGATACACCCCTGGGCGGCCTGGATACGCTGAATCACATGGTCATTGCTCGGGTCAGCCATGTTAGATATCCCCGTGGATGGTCTGGACATTTACAAACACGTGGTGTCAGGTCTGGGCAACCATGTTATATACATCCTTGGGTTGCCTGGACACGTCACAACATATGGTCCTTGCTCGGGACAGCCATGTAAGATACCCCCCTGGGTGGCCTGGACAGGTAAAAGCAGGTGGTGCCAGCTCGGGCTGGACACGTTAAAACACATGGTCCTTACTCGGGACAATCATATTAGATACCCCACTGGGTGGCCTCGACAAGTAAAAACACCTGGTTCTAGCTCGGGACAACCATGTTAGATACCCTCCTGCGTGGCCTGGATACGCTGAACCCGCGCTCCCGCTCGAGGCATCCTCACAATGTCTTCCCTGGAAAGACCCAGAAAACTCCACCTCCTGTACAGAGCAACAAAACATTAGTTTTGGAATTGGGATATGTGTTCGGTAGCCCATTTCGACCCCCCGTGGGTTTCCTGATAATGTGGCGTTGTGCCCGACGCCATGTTAGATACACCCCTGGGCGGCCTGGACTCGTGAAAACACGTAGATCCAGGTCGGGACAACCATGTTAGATACCCCACTGGGTGGCCTGGACACGTAAAGCCACTTGGTTCCAGCTCGGGGCAACTATGTTCGATTCCCCCCTGGGTGACCTGGGCCCTCGTTGCCTCCTGGAGAGGGCCAATATGTATGTAGGCACATCTGTAAAAAAAACGGATTCGTGCCCCTGGAAAGGGCCAATCTATGGGAACACGCGTAAAACCAGACGGATTCGTGCCCCTGACCCAAATGTGCACCGCACCCTGTGTTTGATCGATCTGAATTTCAATTAGCCTGGCGAAGGGCCCAACCATATGCAGTTGTGGGTATCGCATTCGGGGGAGCCCCGTATGGGGCCACGAAACGCTGTACTGGGTGGGGGGGACGCATGCGAACTGCGCCACTGGGACATTCGTTGGAGCTCCCTATGGGGCCACGAAACGCTGCCCTGGGTGGGGGGGAACGCATGCGAACTGCGCCACTGGGGCCGTCGGTGGAGCTCCCTATGGGGCCACGAAACGCTGCCCTGGGTGAGGGAACCGCATGCGGGCTGTGCCACTGGGACCTTCGGTGGAGCTCCCTATGGGGCTACGAACCGCTGCCCTGGGTGGGGGAACCGCATGCGGGCTGTGCCACTGTGACCTTCGGTGAAACTCCCTATGGGGCTACGAACCGCTGCCCTGGGTAGGGGAACCGCATGCGGGCTGTGCCACTGGGACCTTCGGTGGAGCTCCCTATGGGGCCACGAACCGCTGCCCTGGGTGGGGGAAACCGCATGCGGGCTGTGCCACTGGGACCTTCGGTGGAGCTCCCTATGGGGCTACGAAACGCTGCCCTGGGTGGGGGAACCGCATGCGACTGGGACCTTCGGTGGAGCTCCCCATGGGGCTACGAAACGTGTGAGTGGTGTGCCGAGAGCAGAGGCAAGGAGGGGGAGGAGGGAGGAGGGCGAGGAGGGGGAGGAGGAGGAGAGGAGGTGGGACGCGGGGCGCTGTCTCTTCAAAACGAGGACCCAACACCACAGGATGGTTGGGACAAACCAGCGTTTCGCTCGAGACATCCTCAAACTTGACTTCGCCGGCCCGTCTCGACCTCGTTTTTCATGGCAAAAGAATTTCGCCGTCGCGTCGCAAGTGAAAACCCAGCCCCTTGTTCAACAAAACTGAAAGAACCCCCCCGGGCCTACGCCCTTTCCGTGAAAAAAACATCTGCACCAGCAGGCGCTGATGTTGCAGCGGCGCTGCGCCGCGTGCCCTGTTCGAGCGGCAGCGTAAGGAAGAACACCCTCCCAGGCAGCGGCGGCTGGCCCAGGGCGAGCGTGAGAGGCGGCGGGCCTTCTCAGAAGGCGGCAGGGCTTCCCAGAGGCCCTCGCGCCTTGTGGGACGCCGTCGCCACCTTCGGGGGAGGCCCGGAAGACTCCTCGGAAGCCGCGAAGGCTTCTGAGAAGCCCCGATGCCTCCTGAGAATGCCCGCCCCCTCTCGCCTCCCCCCCCCCCGCAAGGCTCGCCGTCGAAGGTCACCGACGGGACGAACAGCGCGACGCCGTGCGGAGCGTTGCTCGCGCGCGCGGCCGGCCCAAAGAAGGGCAGTCCTCTGACGCAGATCTCGGGTCTTCTCGTTACGCCCTGGCGCGTGGCGCAAAACTGTGCGACCCCATCTCCGCACGACCGCCTCGAGAACAATGGCCCGCTTGTAGAAGCACACGCGAACTCCGACTGGAGCGCTCTCTCTTTCCGACTCTCTCTCTCTCTCTCTTTATCTCTTGGTAGTTCTCTCTGTTTCTCTTCTTCACCTCTGACTCTCTCTCTCTCTCTTGGATTCTCTCTCTCTCTCTGTCTCTCTCTCACTCTCTCTCTCACTCTTTCCCTCTCTCTCTCCCTCTCTCTCTCTCTTTTTTCTCCCTTATTCTCTTGTCGGTAGGCCGAGCGAGACTTCGTCGACGGCGGCCTGCCAACCCCAGCACGCCCAGTGGCGAGGGGAAGGGGCGGGCGCGCCCCGAGGGAAGAATGGCATAAAACCAAATCGTTCGCAATCCCTCCTCGCGTCGGCATCGACGGCGACCGCGACGACGACGACGGCGCGGGGCCCCGCCCCTCTTAACAGGAGAAGACGAAACCTGCTGCGGACCCACCGCCCCTGCAAGAAGGAAGCAGGCAGCGGAAGCAGGAGGAGAACGAAGAAGGACAGGCATGGGAAGGGCCAGGACGGCCCCAAAGAAGAAGAAGAAGAAGAAGACCTGTTTCTTCACTGCAGTCCTCGGCTTATGTGCAAGTGCGCTCGCGCGCTCGGCGCCCGAGCCGAGAGAAGAAGGACAGACATGGGAAGGGCCAGGACGGCCCCGCGATTCCCCCCCCCCCAAATCCAGCCGTGGTCACCGTCAGCATTTAGCCTCGCGCCGAGAACGCGGGGTGAAGCACATGCGCCGCCTGAGAACCTCTAACGGGGGGCCCTAAGGTCAGATCTACCCTGGGACCCCGCCCAGTGGCGCGAGGCGGGATTCTCGGGGATATTCAGGAGCCTGGGGATCTGGCGGCCGCGGTATGCAGAGTGGACGAGTCGAGACGTCTGTTATCAGAACCTGACGACCCCAACCTGTCGGGTGGGGAAAAACAGGTTCCTGATGCTGCCTTCCATTGCGCCCATGGAGAAAAGAGGACAGGAAGGACGATGACGATGACGAGAACTGTGACACACGCACGACCTCAAACCACCGTCCTTCGCGGGATTCCTTGCAAAAGAAACGAACAGACCGCATACTTATCATTACTGACGGTCCGCAAAGATTGCTTGGACCTGCGCTGGACCCCCCTCCCTGGCGCAGGGGGGTCCAACACAGATCCAAGAAACCCGTGCCAACGGTCGGAAGTGCACGTTTACGACCTTTTCCCTTCCTCGAGAGGATGAGCACGACAAGAGCAAGGC